GTGACAGACTCACCGAGGTCGGATCCGATTCCGGGAGGCAACCTACTGGGGCGAGGGCACGCGATCAACTGAACTCATGACTACTGACTCCATGACTTGATAAGACATCATATCGTTCTTAAGATAAGACAACCATAACTAACTCCCACTGGCCCATTCATGGCCTAGCATGTCCTTGTAGGTAATTGTGTTTTCCTGCCTCATCCTCCTCTTTAACAAACAACCAAAATCATCCTTCTCAAAAGCCATTACGGCCGCTCACTGCCCCAGCGACCAAGTATTCCCCTCCTCCCCCCCCCCTTCTCTGGAGGTCTCCAACGTGCGACGTTCCCTGGATTGTAGAGGCTAGAAGTTCGTTGTTGAATATGATCTATTCTGAATGTCGATTCTGCCGAACGATTTAGGTTGTATGACTCAGTAACGGGTGTTTCGAAATTCGTCGTTGATCGTATAAGTCAAGCATCTGCCGACCAGCGAGCTGGAAGAGCAGGTCGTATAGCTGCCGGTCATGGGAATGGAGGGGGGAGGTGGGGGGGGGGGCGGGGGGGGCCGGGGAGGAGGGGTCGCTACAGTAAGAAAACTTATAGTTAAGCATTACAAAGATCGAAGTTAAGGTGAAGAATGTTGACATTCAAGGCTTGGTGAATGGTGCGCATAATTGCCGCTGTTTGGCTCAAAGTAGGATAGAGGTGGAATTTTTGTAACTTTCCGCTCTCCTTTACTAGATCCTGTTAAACTGCAGCCGCACTAAGAAAAGACCTGTAGCTTTTGTGAGGTATAAACGAAGCTCACGCTATTGCATGACTCCACAGGAGTTTACGGTATCCACAGTAGGCAATGGCAGCGATCACTGGAAACCTGAGAAATGCTCCCCCTCCCCCCTCCCCGAAGCCACTGCGCCTATTGTTTCATTTCTATGAATTAGCCGTTCTGGTGAACATCAAGAAGTATAGCTTCTAGTCTGTTGATGCGATAAAATTATAAGGTCAGGGGACAGGCGGGGCAGTAACCCCAAACTGTGAAATTAAATACGTGGGCCCCGTAGGCCCATACAATTGCACATGCCGTAAGAATGTACTGGAGTTGACGCCAGAAAGCGAGGGCGACGCTAGATTCGTTTTCCATCTGTACCCAGGTGCTGAAACTAAGCTTTAGGGTACTGTGGTACTGTACACCGCCCTTTCTCCTGAACTTCATAATTTATTGTTTCATGTCAGCAACATGTGGAATCAGCTCACAACTTTCAGACTCTATTCCTCGGCAGTTTTCCAAACTTTCGAGAAATTCTCTCGTCCGGAGATCCTCGACAAGCCGGCGGATCAGCTCGTGTTGCATCTGAAATCGATGAACATTGTTAAAGGTGATGTGTTGAGCAGTTTTTTAAAACTTTATTTTGCTGCTTCTAGAAAGAGTAGCCATGGATCCTCCCCTTTTATCTTCTGCTTTCAGGTTATCAATTTTCCTTTCCCGTCACCACCGAATTCCGACACATTGGAGGCGGCCGAAGAGAGACTAGTCAAATTGGGTGCTTTGGCCAAAACCACAAAAGATGGAAAGGTATTTTTCACGCATCTTGGTCTTGAATTTCGTGTATATAGCATAGATATATGTAGAATGCTTTGTCGTTCAGCGCGTATGCGTCAAGTTTTTATTCTTGTTTGCAGACGGAGGCGCGAATAACTTCATTAGGCAGGACGCTGTCAGTGTTTCCGTTGGCACCTGCTTACGCGAAAGTCATAGCAATGGCAAATCAGCACGATCTTATGCCCTACGCAATATTGCTCATTGCTGCGCTTTCAGGTGAATTTTCATTTGTCATGCTCCTTCAGGTTTTGTTAACCGTGTCCTCAGATCTACAGCCGTGACCCACGTAAACTACCGGGCATGTTGGGAGCCGGGACGGCCTTTTCCACCAATTATATCATCCTGAGTCCCCTTCAGTTGGTGGGAAAGGCTGCTCTGACTGCGCTCCTATCCACGCCCGTCACACGGTCACGTAACAGCTACATGCATTTTCCGACAAGCATCTTCGTCTTGACGGAAGTTTAGCGTAGTGATGACGGAACACATTGTTCTTCCATTCTGAATCGCAGTCACATGTTGTGAATGGCGATATTTTCCTGTCAAATGAACTTGGCAGGCATCAGGCCAATGTAGCAATATCGGTGTTTTTAGCCTCCCACACCACCGCAGCCTGGTAACCAATTTTTTCCGGAATTTGGAAGGGATGGTTCTACTGGGAACAGGGGCCGATTCTGGGAGTTAAACCTCTAGATCTCAAGCAGACTCGTAACACTCATACACATCCAACTCTACAATAGCATCGACAGCATAGTTGATAGAATAATTGCAGTGATGATAGCTCGACATGGTTTTTTCTTATTTACAAGGTTTACAGTACCGTGAGCCTTCTAGTACGCGGTTTCGGTCCAATAAGAGCCCCAGACTGACGGGAAACAAGAAAATAATGAACCGGAAGTGCTGAACTGGCGAAGAGGATGGTGTGGGAAGGTAATCTTTTTGATGCTTGGCTTCCATAGAAGTGATGCGCTTAGTTGTTTTTTCAGGGCCCTGGTCGTCGATTAGGTGACCTCCTCGTTCTAATGAGAGCAATCATCTGTTGTGAAGATGAGAAGGTTGGCTTTTTCGTGGTAAACTTGGATGTCGTGGGCTGCGTTCATAGTTCGTGGCTTGAGCTATTTCTGCTAGAGTCGCTCGAGTTTCAGCGATTGATTTCGCTTGAGTCGCGGACTTAGCAATTGAAATCGACCCGAATCGCAAAGTATGAACGCAACAGTAGAGTGCACGCTCTCAGAGAGCGCGGTAAAAGTAAAGTATAAGTCTTTATAAATTTACAGATGAGTCAAGCGGCTTGTGCTAATCTTGGACTGAGGCATAAAGCGATGGTGGAGATCCGAAGACTTCGCACACAATTAACCAATATTGTAAACACATCGTTCAAGTCAAGTACTGACATTGTGATGGATCCTTGCCTTCCTCCACCGTCCGATACCCAAGCGCAGATGTTGAGGTGACGTTAGAAGGCGAGAAGTGGTGTAGCTCACGAGAACGAGGCGCGAAACCGCAAACAAATCAGCTAGTGTTCCTAACTAGTTGACGCTGGAAAAGCAGATCGTTAAGATTATTGGCGATCTGGACCTCCTATACTACATCAGACAACTTGCGAGTGTTGTTATTATTATTTGGTTTTCAGACAGATGATGGTTGCCGGTTTGGCAGATCGTATTGCTCGACGCGTGGATCGATCTGCTGATAACGAAGAAGTGCCGAAGGGAGCATATCAAACGATGAAACTTCAGGTAAAGCTTTACTCACCATGTCCGGAAAATGGGAGGGGGGGGGGGAGTGGCCGCGTACTCCGTTTGTGAATAGCGTGGGGTGCGTTTTTCGTGAGATACTTCCGTCTGAGACAACTATCATCTTTTCTTGAGCTTGATGAAGATATTCCCAAGACGGCAACAATGACGACATCCCAGCTAAAGGGTTCCAAGCATTCAAGTGAAGTACGCAGGCACACCCTCCCCATCTCGGGGATACAGAGCGTACATGGTTGCAAGTGTTGCGATAATACCTGTCCTGTAACGTTATGGCGAGCAATATTACTTCCAGAAAGCCCGTCCGGTTCATTCATATGTCATAATTAATGCAAATTTGATGCAACATGTGTCATAATTGATGCAAAGTTGGTGTAGTGACAAGTGGGGCTCATCGCGCTGAGTCCGATGTCCAGTTCAAAATCGTGATGGACTATTGCCTAGGGCAATCATACCTTCGTCTCCTTTGGATGATAGTCTCCTAAAAACTTCATTTGTAAATCGGGAAGGCTCAACAGAATCATTGTACGGGTCAGATCGCATTCAAACGCCACTAAATCTAAGGGATAAAGCTACTGGCATAGGATCCCGATTTGGAGTGCGCCGCGCATCATACACTCATTTGGAATTGTGGCCGCCTTTTGAATGCGGTATGGTCTGTACGGTGACTTGCAAGCCGGCCCATAAGCAAATGTTTTCATCTTCCCAGACGTGTCTGGTTCCAAAAAATGAATGGCCTCTCGGAAATTAAGGGTTGATTGGCTCGGACGGAAGGCGAGCCGAGATTTAATTCATGCGCATGGTGAACACTTTCATTTGTCACTACATCACATCCGCCTTAAGGCCATTAACATTGCGAGTTTCAGACTTCACAATGACGCGGTAACACCCGTCGACGCGCTCCATGGCAAGGTCCAATGCTATAAACGGAAAGCAGTCCTAGACGTGTATCGATCGGCCTCAACGCCGCTGTGTTTTGAGAGAGAGAGTGAGTGTGTGTGAAGGAACTGGAGGGTACCAGATTGTGTGAAGGCAGCGCCTGCTCTCCTGTTATCCTACACTCTCTCAAAACATGAGCGAGGGCGCCGATCGATTCTCATCTGCGGCTACGCTCTCGTCTATAACATTGGAGCGCTCTTGCAGTGGAAGCGCGTCAGCGCGCGTTACAGCTCGTCATCGCGAAGCCTGACTGGAGTGTCTCCGCCTTTTAATACTTTAGCCCTTTATTCAGGAATTCGTCTTTATCGATCCATGCAGCGTCATATATACTGAAGAGCCGGACTACGTAATCTATCAGGAAATAGTCCAATTAGGAGATAAGAAATGCATGCAATGTGTGATGATGGTGGATCATGAATGGTTACCCAGACTTGCTGAGTCATACTGTAATTTTGCCTCAATGGACAAAGATACAGAGCCAAGGTAAGTCCTTGCAGAATCTCCTCTTTTAGACCTGTAACAAAGGTTTTCTTGCATATTCCTGTGTTTCCAGATACGACGCAGAAAAAGATGAAATAGTGAAGAGTGTAGCCGTGACATTTGGTCCACTGGAATGGCCCCTTGATCCAATCGAGCGACCTATTCCTAATGACATTATGCTGTATAGATATTTTGCTCAGTTTCTTCCTAGCAGGAGAGGTAAATATTTTAACGCTTTTGTGAATTCTTCCATCGATTCCAATCTGTTCTAAAGATCCTCTGTTTAGGTAATGCCACTGCTGGCCCAGTTTGTGCCGAAAATGTTGGCGCCGCCTACGACAATGGTCCGATCGTGGGCGAAATTGCAGAAGCGCACAGAAAGTCTTCTGAACGCGCTGGTACTGAAAGATGTGGGTTGTCTATAAATCCGTTTTTCTGCACCGATTCCTTGGATATTTGTTTGTTTAGGTTCATACAAGAGCGGCACTGATTGAAGAGTTCAAGAAGAATGAAAACTACCTTCTTGAAGAATATTTGGACTGGCTACCGGAGTCCCTACATGGTACGATAACCGTCATGTGGCCACCAATGGAGGAGAAGTCTTCGAAGATGGGT